TCTATGATTCTATGATTCTATCTTGCAAAATAGTACAAAACCTACCTCAAAGAGATTGCTAGAAATCTTTATTATTCAAGAATGTTTCCCTCTTATATAATTCAGCTGGTCCTTTTAAGGTTAGAGAATGCTACTGTTTCTGCCTTTTTTATTTCTTTTCCTGAAGCAATAATAGATTCGTGACAGAGAAGAATATGTAAGAATCTGAAAACATCAGAGTTCACGACGGTAATTTAGAAACAGTGATGTTGGAGTCTCTCTAATGGCAGTTACCATATGGAGAGAAGAAAGAACAAAAAAAAGCCAAACATCAAAACCAAACCCAGAGAAACCTGACCCTATTGTTGCAGTGACACAATGGAAAATTATTGGATAAAAGACTTTTTTTTTTTCCCCTTAGGAAGTCTTGAAGCAACAGGTATGGGAGCTGTATTACTCCTGTGCTCTGACAGGCCACCAAAAAGTTCATCTTAGAAATTTTGCATTCTTCAAGCCACTTTACTTTCTTGTACCCTTTTCTTACATTTTTTTTTTGTTGACCTCTCAAGTGTAGGTAGATTGTTCCTCTAGAGTGCAGTGCTGCTGTAGAAGCCAGATGAAGTTGGGAGCAACAAAGGGAAGGAAGCAAGAAGGTTGCTCTGATTCTACCTACTTAGACATTTTTTCTTCACAGCTCGTGTACTTTAGACTTGACCTTTTCTTTCTTGACTTTCAGCCCCCAAGTGGTTGCACATACGAAACAACGTATGAGGAATCTTTCATGACTGAGTAAAATTGCTTATCCAATGCTTACAGTGTAACCTTTTCTCAAAGGCATCACCTCTACATACCTTAAATCCTTTTTTCAATCTGCATGGTAAGCATGGTAAAGTGACTATCATGAAGAATGTGTTTGGGACTTTTAACTTACAGATATGCTTGCCTCTCTGTAGTACTGCAGAAAAGAAGAGAGAGCAAAACCAACCAAACCACCACCACACAAAAAAAAAAAAAAAAAAAACAGAAACACAGAGTATTTGCTTAAGATTTTTTTTTAAAATATCCCCCTAAATAGTTCAGTCAATGAAATTTTGCTTGGTAGCACTGTTGTCTTCCTGGTCTATGGAAATAAGGTGTACATACTTGCACTCCTTGTCGGTTCTCCTCAAAGCCAATTTTCACCTAAACTTGACATAGCTATAAAGGTTGTTTAGTGTTTTCATGAAAGTGTGGAGAGATGAAAATCAATATTTCTATGGAGAGCATGGTGGCAGTAATATGAGCACTTAAAAAGACCACCATTAGTGATGATGAGCTGTTAGACAGTCTTTTCTAATCAGACCCTAGGTATTTAAAAATTGTATCCTTTTAAAAGTAGATTTTTTTTTTCTGCAATAGAATTGCAGAATGCTTTAAAAAAAATTACTTCTCTGTGATTTTTAGGGGTTCATGTGAAATGCTCTTAAGTGTGTTTTCTTGAATATATCTCCATTTCTGAATATGTATCCCATTCAATATTAACCAGTGAACTTTTAGGTAGCACACCAAATAGAGGAAAAATAGTGTACATGTTGAACACTGCTTTGTTTTGCAGCACATGGATGATTGTGCCACAATCGTGAATCTGAGTTCTAAGATGATATATCTATATGTAGTCCAGTACATGACACTGCTAACTCACCGTCTCTCTGGTGTATGTACCTGTGAGTGAATGATATGCTCAACCGTCTCTCTTTCACATCTGCACGGTGTGGAACTTCTTGTTACAGTTAAAACTGACTTGGTCATGGCATTGCTATATGCATTTGGTTTCCAAAATTAAGAATTTTTTGAACAGATAATTTCACAGCTCTCATATAGCTTTGAGGCAACAGTCATTACTGTCATTAGGGTGGTTGATAGGCATGATACCGACTAGATAGAAATTTACTGGTGGGCATGGATGTCTCTCACTTACTCAAAATTGCTTAAAAGTGTGGAGGAGTTAAAAACTGAGTCATAACTTGGCAATGCAGAAGCTTCCTCCCCCACCCTTCTCACTCCTAATTCCTGTCCTGCCAAAACCACTACAACAATAGAAGCCTGCAGATAGGACGGGGAGTCTTTATTTAGAAGTTTACTTAGTATAACATAATTGAGTTAAAACTCTTGAAATCATATATATAAATTAATTCAGTTTGAGCATAATTCCTTTCATTTAGTAAATGAGCATTAGGAGGCTGTGCTGACTCCACTAAGGATGCAGTTAAGTTAGAGTACAGAGCATTTGCAAATGGTAGTGCCAATTTAAGGGGTTTCATTCCTGCCCATGCCTATATAGTATGCTGCTTCTGCAGCTGTGCCATAGAACTGTTTGTGTCGAGATGCTGTGAAGTGTATTTAGTATGAATGTATCCAAGAATCACTCCACCCCTCCTTCTCTCAAGTACTAAAAATCTAGATCAGTTCATAGTGAGCCCCATAAAAAGTAGACTGGCACAATTGAGGGAGCGGTTTGCTCAGGTGTAGGGTCTGGGATGAGCAGGCAGAATGAAAACTTCTTATACTGGTACTGTTGGAGTGTTGTGAAAACCATCACCTTAGGTTCTGGTATGGCTCCATTGATATAGTTAAGGATTGTTGCAAAATCCGCAATAAATGCTTCCAAAGTAAATGTTACTTTCAAAGTTGAGGACGTATGAAACTTGCCTTGAAACTGAAAACTGAAGAACAAAGAGCAGAAAAGAAAATAAATATAGGTTACAATTCAAGTGGAGAAAGCAAAAGAAAAATCAAGTTCTGTCATGTTTCTGGAAGTTTAAACGATCTTCCTCTGAATGAGGTGGACATTGTGTAAGTGCAGGTGTAACTAAACAAAGCTAACAGTGGCTAATTGACTAGTTACATCTTGTCTGCTTTTTACAGTAGCTTGATTCAGCCTTTCATTTTCAAATGTTAGATCATTTAAATTGATAGCTTTTCTGGTATAATAATAAAATAATACGATGCTGAATAGGGATTACCCCATTCACGAGGAAATCAGCCTGTCCAAGTTAATGCACAGAGTTAACTGCATAAAAATTCATTGTTTTCTAATATGTTGGGATTATTCTTGCATTAGGATGAAATTACAGTGTTCTCATAATAGGCTAAAGTTTATACGTCTGATTCTTGGGCATGGATTTTGGGAATAAGAGGAGCATTGAGTGAAATGTCAGGCAAAAAAGATGATGTTTAGGATTATAAAGAGAAATCTACGTTGGATGGTTTTGAGTGCCTGTTTTTCTACAGCTTTATTCAAATTATTTAGAGAAGAGGAAAATAATTAGAAAATTATTCACACTTCCATATAGGAAGTGTGGGGATTTTTGTTTTCTTTTTGGTTTTAAGGCTTTATGCCTCAGACCAGCAATGATGATTGTATTTCCAGGCTATTTCTTGATGTGGTATGTGTTTGTATTGCTCTGACTGAACTTGAAATCATCAAGGTGGTTTTCTGGTTCTTTGCTCATTTGGGCTATGCAAACTACTGCGCTGCGGTAGAGGACCAATAAGTACCCATGTAATTTATAATGGTCTTGTGCTTTTGCTGTAGGTTTTCAGTCAAGACTCTGATTGACCGTTCCTGTTTTGAGACTATAGATGATACTTCTCCTGAATTTAGTAATTTTGCAGCCATTCTGGAACAGATTCTAAGTCATCGACTGAAAGGTATGATGATTAATTTCCTTACTGGTGACTTTTTTGCCACAATGTTTGGATGAAACCAGCGTACATCTGTAGAAACTCCTTGATACTGAATGAAAGTGTTGGCTTTCTTTGTGCATCTGTCCCTTTACTGTTGCCTTCTGATTGTTTGCATTACTGTGGGAAAGTCAAAGAAATGTTTTTTGTGAAAAATATTTCCAATGTTCTTGTTAGAAGCCTTCTCGGCTGGTAATTAAGCAAGTGGATGTTGCCATGGTGCTGAGCGCTCTCTGCTTTTCTGCTTTATGATAAGGCTGTGTTCTAGGAGTCTGAAAGACAACTGTAGTGTTTTCTGCTTTAACAGAAGCTGTAGAAAGCATGTCTGTGGTACTGCTCTTTTTTCTTTCTCCCTTCCCTCTTTTTGTTGCCTTCTTTTCCAGATACCGTGTTTAGGTCCTTTCATTCCCGTCCTTCCACCACCCTAGTGAAGCTGTTTTTTGCAACTGGAATGTAGTGGATCTGGATTAAATTCTTTTTGAGAAATGTCGTTGTTGATTTTCCTCTTGTATCAGAGTCAGATATTGTTCTAATTCAAGAAAATGTCTGTTTGCGTTTTCTGATTGTTCTAGAGGAAGCTGCTTTGCTAAAAGAACAGAGCGTGCCTTAGCAGTAATAGTGGCTAGAAAAGGACTTTGGAGCTTTTCCTTATTTCTCAGTGTACAGTTTCTGAAATTATTGAGGATTATGAAGGACATCATCACATCTAAATATAGATATGTAGTATGACAATCTACTTTTCATACTTTTGCTTTTTAATATTCATAACTGAGCTTTGTGAACAATATTGTGTGTAGGCTGACATTTGAGTAGCACAATTACTACCTGCTGTCGTTCTGTCAGGGAAGAGAAAAAAAAATCACACTGTTGGGTAGGAACATAGTGTTTGTCACATTGTGACAAAGATTATTGGAGTGATTATGAGTACTTAGCAACTTGACACTGCAGGGAAATTGCTCTGTTTTCTCCTTCTCCCCCAGCTTCAGTGATGTTTGCGGGGAAAAAAATCATTTTGAATGTTTTTTATTTTTCTCCCTCTAACATTCTTTTGCTTCACAGTCTGTTAATCAGGACAGGCAGTACAGAAAAGAAGCCTTGACAGGTTGGCAAATGGGTTATAGGCAAGTGGAATTTGCAAGTGAAAGATTATTTCAAATAAGAAATAGAGAAAATCAAAAAGCAAAATTGTTGTTTCAGTCTTCCCCTTGTAATTACCAGTGTGATTTTCAAAGTTTGCAGAGTTAAATGAAAATACGGAAAAAGGCTGCAACTTGTGCATGATATTGCAAACGGGGAATATTTTGGTAATAAGAGAGATCACTGTGAGTAATTATTTTATTCTTTAAAAACGTGAAAGGGAAATTGAGATAATAAATGTACCATGACAGTTCAAATTTTAAGAGGGTATACATTATACAACACAAGGCTCGAAAGAAATTGCATTTTATTGATGGAAATGACTAATATATTCTGAATGCATACTTTGTGTCAGTAGGAGCATACTAAAAGCAGACTGGTGATTGCAGTGGGTTGTATAAAATGCTTTAAAGCCGGCAGAACATACACGATCTGTTTGTCTAGGGTCAGATAAATGGCTTCATTGCATTGGTATATCCTGTTGTCAGGATAATCCCATGGCAGTGTAGTTAAACGGATGATCCAGATTCGAGAGTTTGAGTATATTTTGAGTTTATTTTCTTAAGACCATGGCAAATAACAGTTCTTAATCTTTAACTTCCTTCAGCATTACTGGGTGAGGAAGGAAGAATCAAGGAAAAAAAAAGTATTGAATAAGCATAGCAAAGGACTAAATTTACTTTTATTAGAATACTTTTTCTGGCAACTGCCTTTTCTGACAGTAAATGTAGTAAATTTTTAAGGAGCAAAGCATAGTTCTTGATAGAATATGGTGACTGTTGCTGCTCATTGGTTTTGTGTTCAGATAGGATCCAGACAAAAGCAAATGGGAGGAAGGATAGCTATTTTAAGGGGGGAAAAAAATGTTCAGCTACAGAGATTAGAATTTTATGCTTTTCCCAAAACCACTGCAATTAAGAATTCTGAAACAATAGTTCTCTAAACCTCATCTTCCCATCTGTTCTGCTAAAAATGCCAGTTATAGCAATACGAGCACCATTTTTAAATTGATCTTTGAAAGACAGTTGATCTGATGTTGCCAACTCTGAATATCCAAAAGGTCATGAAACAATGTTCATGATGGTTTTGGTGGTTTGTTTTCTTTTTTCAGAATTGTTGAAGGATTTAGTTTGGAGAGTATCTTAGAAAGTATCCAGCCCAGCCTCTTGCACAAAGCAGGGCTGTCTCAGATTGCTCATGGCGTTTTCCGGTTGAGTTGTAAATCTCCATGGCATGTCTTAAATTTGGTGCAGTTTGCTACAGAATTTTATTTCCACTCCACCCACCTCCACCACTCTCACTTCATGCTTACCTTTCCCTGGTACTGGCCACGGTCTTCACCAGATCCTGTGGTGAGCCAGACCAGGAAGTCAAACAGGCAGAAAACTAATTACTTTCCTTATGGATGCACTTCTTCAACCCAGCTGCTTATTTTCTTAAGAGTGGTTTAGCTGTGGGTGTTTGCTTAGTAATAAAATGAGCTTGGCATAAATATATCCACTTATACTACAGAGATCTGCAAATGCTGCTTGAATACAGGTATCTGTTCATGTGTTACAGAAGACTTGGCACACATGGCACCAAAAGAGTTCCCAAAAAGATATCAGAATATACCACGGCCAAAAGGCTGCATCTGTACTACCTTACAGTTACATGTACACCAATGCCAATAACTAGCAGTTAAGAATAGGCCACTGTTGTTAGAAAAAGCAGTCTGGCCTCACAGCCCATTTTTGAATTGCCATAATGAAGAGAGAGAGTTTGAGTAATCTGTATTAACTGTCTTTTCAGGGTTTGCAAGCTGTTGACTGCCTTCTGCTCTAGAAAGTGGGAAGATTCTTATCCCTGTATTGTGTAATACTGTATGTGTAGTATACCTGGGGCTCCCTAGAAGTGCTGGATTTATTGTGAATGTGGAGCAGACCACATATTATAATAAGAAGGATATAAAAGCTTCTTCCTGTCATTAAAATAAGTTGTGTGGCATGCCTGCTGGCAAGATATGGTACTACTGGAAAGGACAATTGAAGATCTTGAAAAGGCAGGAGAGGAGGAGTAACAGAAAGAAGATGAGTGACTATAATTACTCTTTTATTCTTTCTTAGGAATAAGAATTTGCTTGGTTTTATAACATTTTGAGTGGATGCAGAGACAATGTATTTGAAAGTCTCTGAACCAAATAAGATCTACAGTCCTGAAAGGGATATTACAAATTTGTATAGAAATGTATGTGCATTTGATAATGTCTACAGGAATCTGGATAATTTCAGGAGACATTTTTTTCACCACATAGTTGTTTGGAATTTGTTCCTTTCCTAACCATTCTGCACTGTAGAGATTAAGCCGTATCTTGTAGTTGTCTTAGTGTAGTTCTCTTAGTGCTGTCTTGTTTTCACTGCTGGTCACAAATTTTTTGGGCATATTTCCTGTAAGTGTCCCTTTTATCAGATCATTCAAGAACATATAGTTAATGCAGAAATGGTTAGGGCATCTAAAAGTGTTCAGCAACACTACCTGGGATTTTCTAACAGGTATATCCTAGCAGATTTAGAACCTGAAGTCAATTCTTAGTCATATAATGCACTTTAAAATGTTGTATATATTGTATTTACTGTATCACAATGTTGTATGGTTTTCTGCCTTTTCTTATCACTTTAAATTCGTTTTAACTGCGTTAAAGAAGAACATTAATAACTATTAATAATTATTGTAGATTTTTATGGCCATCATCTCAAATATATTTCTGAAAAATATTGTCATGCATATGTATTTGTTGACTTACTATGTTTTCATTGTAATGTTCTTTACAACAAAATCTGTTTATATTCAAACTGCTAGCCCATACACATGCAGAGAAATTGTTTTAGTGTATAAATTAGGTTCTGTCACTGGCAACATACGTAGTGCATCTCGCTTGTGACTTCTGTAATTTTTACACATCATGGTTAACTGTAAGCATGTTTGTCATCTACACACTTGCATTTACCACTATAACGACACAAAACAGTACGTTGTACTGTGCTATTTTGACACTTTCACACCTTTGTGTGCCTTTTTCCCTGTATGTACGTTTAGAAGGTATAAACACATGACAAGCTTCTGCTAGAGTTGCTCATGGAAACTGCTTGTCCAACTGATCTATATTATTCTTCATTTGTAGTGACTGGAGTTAACTTGCTTGATTTTCTTCTTTCTTTTAGAAAACTTACTTTGAGTAGTAAGCTTCTAGGGTCATCAGTGCTGCTTGAGTGGAAAAAAAAAAATTAATAAATCTCTTCCTCATTCTATAAATGTTCTAGTTTCATACATCATCAATAGTCTGGTAGTAATGGTAAATGGCTGTACTAGTGATGTCACTGGTAAATGTTAATTCTTTGCCCTTCATAGTAAAGTGAATTTTTAATTAATTTCTGAAGCAGTGAAAGACTTTTCTTATTTGCAGTTTACAATTTATCCCTTCCCATGTGGTTTTTATTTTACTTATTTATTAATATAGGAGGGGAAAAAAAGCACTTAGTATTACCTGCTACTTCATGGAGTCTCTTTTCTTTTTAAGCAATGAATATATTAATATAATCAATCAAAATTTCTTGAATTCTAATAATTCAGGCATAAACAGTGGTTACAAAGGGGAAGGGTATGAATTATGTCTGCAAAAGACAATTCGTGCCTGTAGGTCTAGGTCACAGGGTTCTTTGAGTAAGATGCAGCTCGTAATGCTGATTATCCTGAGAGACAAGTTTTCTGGATAAATTAGTAAAGGTAATGGTGATATAATGGGGGTGAAAAAGGTAGGTTAAGGAAATAAGAGCTGTCATGAAAGAGACGAAATCTAAGCACATAGCTGTGGTGGTCCTTTATTTGATGCAATAATGCTATTAGCAGAAAAGCTTTTGTTATAAGATTTAATATTTATACTCACATAGTGACCCTATTACTGGTTTTAGCTAAAAAGAAATAACAGAGCTCTTGTGTAATTCGTGATTTAGCTCATTCTCCTTTCTCCTGTATGGAGAAAAACATTAAATCAATTCATAATTGTCTTGGAGCACTAGGTTTATGAACTACTGTAAATTTTTATTTTTAATGACCCATTCTGTAAGCCCAAAATAAAAGAGTAGGTATCACAGAAATTTCTCAAAGGAATAGCATGCCAGTTTATTACTATCAAGTTATATTAAAACTAACCTTTTGCAGGATAAAAAAATTTTCAATTAACTACGTACAAGGAAGTCGGGAGAAAACCTGCCTGTACCTTAGAGCATCCTAATCATTCCTACTTTGCAACTGGGGAAATTTGTAGATATGAAATTAGATTGTGATTGAGTAGGAATCAAACTGTTTAATGTCTTATTTGTGAAGAATTTCTTGGGCGTGAAAAAAGATCTAAAACAGCTAGTGTTGCAGATGTTTGTATCTAGTTGTCAGACTGGAGCAGAAATGGGTTTGTTACAAACAGGGGTGTAGCAGTATTCAAAAATGTGCTGAAAAAATCATTGTTTACTTGTTTTGCAGCTCTGTAGACAAGGATTAATTTGAACAATGTTTAATATCAAATGTGCAGCTTTCATGCTTACCTAACAATTTTGTTTGGTTGACAAAAACAGTAACATAATTCCTGTTGAAATAGCTGTCAGCCCTTCTGTGTCTTCTGATGGTATATAAACTTCATGGCAAAGACTACACACTGTCCTTTTGGACCTCCCAGGAAACTTACTCCTTCCTTAAGAAGTACTTTAGAATATAAGTTGTATACTAAAACTAGCTTTCAAGTTTATTTTTCAAATTTAGTTTAAGTTTTAAAATCGCAGAACAGTCCAGGTGGGAAGGGACCTCGAAAGATGATCTAGTTGAATCCTTTATGGGAAAAGGAACCGAGATGAGATTATCTAACCCGCTGCCCAGTTCAGTCTTGAAAACCTCCTGCGATGGGGACTCTACCACATGCCCAGGAAGCTTGTTGCAATGAATGATTTCTCATACTGTAAAAAATGTCTGTCTTATGTTGGGATGAAACCTCTCCTAGGGCAACTTTTACCCACTGCCCTCTGTCTTTTCCATGTGGCTCCTTTTAAAGAGAGACCCTCTATCCTCTCTGCAGCCTCCCTGTAAGTACTGCAATACTGTGATGAGTAGTCCTCTGAGCCTTCTATTCCCTAGGGAGACAAAGACCTAACGCCTGCAGTTCTCCAGCCCTTTGAAAAACTTTGTGGCCCTCCTTTGGACCCTCTCCAATCTGTCCATGTTCTTGAATTGTGGAGACCAGAACTGGACACAGTACTCCAGGTGCAGCCTGACAAGTGCTGAATAGTGGGAGCTACTTAATTCCCCATTCTTGAGAGTTCTCATGGCTGTGTACATTGAGTTCATTGAGGGCCAAATAGAATTTCATGTGCTGAAAGCTTTTAATAGGGAATATACAGCTTAATTCGCACTGTTCTTGAACAGTCTTTGAGAATACTTTTCTGTGTATAGAATGATTAAGGAAGTTTTTCTTCAGATGGTGTTAAATACTGGAGCGTGGGCAAGGTTTAAAGTTGTAAGGAGAAGACAGTGAAATATAGAAGTCCTTGGTTCACCAAAGGCCCGCTGTGATTTCAAGAGAAGACAATTCATACTGGAGTCTGAAACCCATCATAGCCTCTTGCAGAGCTGGCTGCAAGATGAGAGCTCACTGTTACGTCAGAGTATATTGTAATTATGGCCAGCGTGCTTTGTTGATCAGTGTAAGCCAAATAAGTGCTATGTGCTGGTATGTATTTCTGTTATAGAAGTATCTTTGATTTTAAATGATGTGTTTTTCATGTGTTCATTTGTAAAAGGAATCACTGTGAATTAGCGGCTTCAGAAGACTGTAGAGTGAAACTGTCTATTTTCTGCAAAATATATTTTGTCCTTAACTTTTGTGGCTTTCTCAAACTACCTTACTGTAGGATATGCTTGCCTTTATTCGTTGTCACTGGAATTGGTGAGACCAAGTCATGTTCACCCTTAAGTTGCATTTAATTTTGCAGGTATAGTCCCCAGGGCAGAATTGCTTCTGATATAGTAAACAATCTGAAAAATACCTGTAGCTTTTCCTGGTGTTAAAATGTTGTTTAATTTTTGTTGCTGTCCACTACACTTGTCAGTTCAACAAAACCAGGAAGTTTGTAAGAGCACTTACCCCATGGAAATTCTTTTATTTTAGTCCTTAGAGCTGAGAATATCTGAATCTCTGGTAACTGAAGCACCTTGGGATTTTTTTTTTTTTCCTTTGACATATTGAGCAGTATATAGTAATTCTGCCTGCTTTCTTTTTTTTTAATGAGTCTTTTATCAAGCTTTGAATTTAATAAATAAATCCTTGTCATGAAGTAAGCAGATGGACCACAAAGTCAAGTTACATACACCCTCTAGGGAGAAAAAAAACACATCACTTAAATTTCTTAAGATCATAGGGAACAGATCTTTGACATTACTCTGGCTATGCTTGGAGCTAAGATAAGTCACGCTAGATAGAGATCTCTTTGCCATCATGTTTTGGCATATTATTTTCAGTACGTATGATTTACAGTATCAGTCTAATACATTTTCTTAAAATCTGAGCTTTCTAACAGCAAAATAATTAGAAGTCTTTCTGATAAATTAGTAAAGCCTCAGAAGTACAATTCAAGACTTGAAATAAAATAAAATTCGCTTAACAATAGGATCTCATTTTATATGGAGTAAAGGTTTTGCACATTAATAATAATTGCGTTCACCAGAGGGCAATGTTCATCTTACTTTTTATGTAGCTGTTCACAGTTGTGTGTTCTTGGGTCTGAAAAATGGGGCTGTGATAAAATTTATTTTCTGTGGAGCAGTTGCAAGTAGTATGTGACTTTTGCCTTTCGTTTTCTATCTGCAATGCATTGGAAGCAAGAAAATAATATGAAGGATTTTGGTTAAAGCTCCAGTCATATTGATTTGCTCAATTAACGTTGGTCGGCTTCCCAAGGAATCTACCCAAAATAAATTGTGACCGCAAAACGTTTTTGATCATGTGTTAATTTCTCCTTCAGTGAAAGCACCTTTTGAAAAATAGCAATCTGCTGCTAAAATAAAGATAACGCTACCACAGCTGCAGTGGTCTGTTACTTTGTGTGTATATATATAAATATCTTTTTGAAGAACAAAACTCTCTTTACTTGCCTGTATTACTGAAATATGTACTACCTAAAGCAAATAACAAATACTTCTTGCATCATATTTAAAGTCACAACAGCGTGGTCTCTTGTGATTTAAGAGACACACAGGTGAAGAACTCGAGTATTGTTGTAACATACTAACAAGGAAAAAACCCAACAACATACTCCTATGTACACAAAAGCTCCAAATTTCAATTTGTGCGTCAGTTTCAAAGCAGGGTGAGCTGCATAATGCAAGGTTTTTTCACACCTAAGAGCCAGTAGTTTTCAATAAGAATTTATGGACTTGCTAGTGTATAATCCTGTCAGTGCAGGCAACTGTTAGGGAAGTATTTTAATTCTGTCTCCAGTAAGCAGAGAGGTACATTCATAAATCTTTACATATCTTGTATTTTGATTTAAGGTCAGATCACCTGGTTCGGCTATGAAAGTCCTCGTAGTTTCTGGGACTACATTCGAGTAGCTTGCCGAAAAGTCTCGCACAATTGCATCTGCAGTATTGAGAACATGGAGAATGTCGGTTCTTCTAGAGCTAAGGTAGGGAAGAGAAAGGTCAAACTGACTTTTTTTATTACATTGCTCTGTGTAAAAAAATATAGCTGACGTTTCTGTACCCAAAAGAAAAACACATTTCTGAGCTTGCCCCACAAAATTTTTCTTTGTTTGAAATAATTATTTTTTATATGTACCTAGTAAATATTTACTTAAAAAAAAAAAAAATTAAGCAGCACCATGAATCTAGTAGATCTTTTAGCAGCCATTCTGAAGATACATAATATTGCAGAACAGCATATTTGCTATGTCTGCTGTTGCTGTTTGCCTCTTTCGTATAGACTCAGTTTTAAACTTTATGTAGTAAACGTATCTGTAATTTGTGTGAAAGCCTCAAAACACTTGAGATGCTATGGCAAAGTGCTACTGGTTCTCTTATCTAGAATATTACATGCTGTTCCCAGCACTCTGTGTACTGGAGTAGTAGACTGATAATTTAATCGTGTGGCTTTTCTTCTTGCTTGTGTTGACGTCTGGGAATTGAGATAATTTGGAGAACTTATTTCCACATACTTTCTGGAGATACTTGTATGTTCTAGAATCTGATGATTGTGTTGCTTATATTTGAGATTTATTTTAAAGGTATTTCTGAATTCCATTATTTTAATATATAGGAATGTTTAAATTCAGTAGACAATAAGCTGCAAAGCTATTTTCTGAAATACTATTATAAATAAATTAAAATTTTCTTTTACTCTGTGGAAGATGCCATGCCAAATAGTAAACAAAGAAGCTAGTTTGTGCAGCGAGTGTAGAGAGCAGCGTTGAATTTTTGAAGATGCGTGTGGGAGTATTTTGGATGCCTTTATCTGAAAAGGTTGGAGGCATGTCAACACAAATACCAGTGGTATGCATCAGTTTTACTGGTGGTACAAATGGGTGTCTGCTTCAGCCTGGAAGCTGTGAGGGTTTGCCAGTGCTAGTAAGCCCTGCTTTCACTGGAGCTGCATAAGCTTTAGTTGTTAGCTAAGCAGCAGCACTGGGGTTTGACTGTTTCACTCATGATCTAAACAACTGCAACATAAAAGCAGCTCTCCAGATAAACAGCCTTTTAATTCTAGTGCAATCTGTGTTTAAGTTTTTACTGTGGTGTTGGTATTTATGAAAGCGAATTTGTTATTTAGCATCTGCCTATTTTATCCTAAGTTTAGTTTGATCTAGGTCTGTATAAATTAAAAGTAGAATTATAGTCTACTACAGATGGTTTTGGTAGAATGTCTGTAGTAATGTTCAGCTAGATGTCAATAGGAACCAAATATATTAAGCAGACAGACATCTAGCTACTAATCATAGAATCACAGAAGGGTTGGGGTTGGAAGGGACCTAAAAGACCATCTAGTTCCAACCCCCCTGCCATGGACAGGGACCCCTTCCACTAGACCAGGTTGCTCAAAGCCTCATCCAGCCTGGCCTTGAAGACATCCAGGGATGGGGCATCCACAGCTTCTCTGGGCAACCTGTTCCAGTGCCTCACCCCCCTATCCGTGAAGAAATTTTTCCTGATGTCCAATCTAAAGCTCCCCACTTTCAATTTAAACCCGTTCCCCCTTGTCCTGTCACTACAGGCCCTTGTAAAAGGTCCCCTCCCAGCTTCCTTGTAGCCCCTTCAGGCACTGGAAGGCTGCAGTAAGGTCTCCCTGGAGCCTTCTCTTCTCCAGGCTGAACAAGCCCAATTCTCTCAGCCTTTCTTCATAGGAGAGGTGCTCCAGCCCTCTGATCATCTCATATATCAACTTACATAATTATTTGTGAGTTTATATGGGTTACAAGAATTGTTACAGGTGTTCTCAAACTGATAATCATAACTATGGCAGCCGTTTGAAACGTCTCTTGTAAACTACAATCCTGTGCACTAGACCTGTAGAGCTTGCTTACATTCCTAAAGGCTATTTTTGAAGCAATTGCTGTTGTTTATAGAACTGTTTGAATGAAGTTTTGGTTTTGGACTACAAGTTTTAGGGTTCTTAGATTTGACTTCATTCCTGTATATTATGTGCACCCTCTATAATGATGCCTTTACTGAGGGGAAAAAATAATTTATACAAATACTCTGTAATTTATACAAATTACATTTTAAAAAATATGTCAGAGATTTATTTTTTTAATTGATCCCGTAAATATTTGAACGAGCACAGAGAATTAGTTCTTACTTAAATCAACTTGAAGGTAGGTTACTTATGCTTTACCGTGGAACCTATTGAATGCTTCCAATACCACTGTCTTTAAAATGAAAAGGTTTCTGCTCTGTTCTGCTACCACTTATGTACATGAGATTTTCAAAACACTGGAGTATATCATTAAAGTATATCATTAAAGGCTTTTTTTTTTTTTACTCCTTCAAATTTTGCAGAATTTTATTTCACAATGAGGTTTGTAATAATGCATTTTTTTAATTTTCATTATTACTGTCTGTCATGAAGTACATCTTAGCAGCAATTTCTGTTCAGTGCTAGTTTTGTTTATCAGTTCGTTTCACCCATTTCATTTTCAGATGTCAAATTAAGCGTTCATTCTATAAAACTTAAATATTTGATATCTGTTTCTTCTTTCAGGGTCGAGCCTGGATCAGAGTAGCACTTATGGAAAAGCATTTGTCTGAATATATTTCCACAGCTCTGAGAGACTTCAAAACAACCAGGTCTCTAAGGCTTTTATTTTTGCAATATTTAACAAGTGAGAGACTTGTTTGGATGTGAATGTTCCACTTGATTGCTATAGGAAGGCATGTTGGTAGTAAAGGCGTAGTAACCTAGTCAAAGATGTCTGGAGTTCTTATAAACATTGCATTTTAGCATGGGTAAAACTGCAAAATTGAAAATCCATTTGTGATTTTTAAAAACGTGGAAGTAAGTCTGGAATTCTTGAAAGGTCAGAAGAGAAGATGACCTCTTCAAAGAAGGAACTAATTCTGAAATTGTAGCATGATAAGGGTAGAAGATGTAATGTTCCTTTCAAAATTAGGTATAGTTGATGGAAAGCCCTAGAGATTCAGTAAAAAGTAATTTTTATAGAAACTTCTCTTGAAGAAGAAAGTAAGAGAATTTCAAGAAACTTTTGGGAAATATAGAACAGAATTAGTGATCAGGAATAGTTAGGATTCTTGATGTAATATGAAAAATGTGTAACAGATTTTTGTTGTACCTTCTAATTGTAAAAGCTGTTTTGGACAAGAATATGCTTTGTGATTGAGAATGCTCTGGCAGTTTTGGACTGGTTCTATATAATGTGATTATTACAGGATAAAGCATCATATCACAAGTGTGTCTTGTATATTTATCATGAAGTCATTTAAGTTTGAGTGAGTCTGTAACATATTGTGGTACCCTATGTTGAACTCTATCAGACACGCTGAATGGACTATTTAAACAATAAGCTTTTTCTCTGTAAGCACTTCTGTTCATTTAGAATATTAGTTCTGTTTGTAATACTATTTGTCCACAGATCTCCATATGTTTTGCCATTACTAAGGTGACTTTGAAACACAATTAGGTAAACATCCCATTTTATTGAAGTTTCCAGACCTGTTGTCTTTATTTTACTCAGGTTTGCTTGCATTTACAGTAGACAAGAAGCTCATAAAACAAATATTTCTGGAAAAGATTTACTCATGTTGCCTCAAACTGAAAAGTCACTTGGGTTTTTGAAGGGGAGATGAGAAGGAAGAGGAGGGTCACAAACTATGTAGTTAAGTAGTACATTCTTTGTCCTTGTTTGGTAGTGCAGTTTGTTTACTCGTGGATAACAGGAGTATAATTTTACTAGCAGTTTAAAATTGATTTATTTGTACATGTTAATGTTTGATATACTTGAATGTTCTTTCAGTGGTATAGCTTTTGGAAAGAACCTCTCTTGTATTCCAAACATAGTAAGTGCAAAGTTTGTTTTGAAGTAATATTTTAAAAACATCTAATGGAAATAAAAGTTACCATTTCAGATGTTGGTAGCGTGGATTTCAAATCCCTCGTAAGTCGCCTGATATTTTTGTGATGGTTTACACCATTTATTAAGCATTTTAAATTATGCTTTATGCTATATATATATTTAATAATTATTTGTATGAACTATAAATATCATAGTCTACATAGACACATGTAACATGAGATTCAGCTATAAAACTGTTCTTTTTATATCTCCCTGTTCTAAGTGCCTGATCTCAGAGCTAGACCTTTAATGAAACAGTACATTATTAGTGCTGGATCTGCATATTACACTTGGAAGGGGGTTGAATTAAGCATGGGCACACAGTTATTTTTCTAACAAATTAATCAGTCCAGACTCTCAAGTAGACTGTTCTGTTGTGAGGTGTCAACTGCATAGCACTGAGAAAAGATTGGTGAGTTTTCTGAGGGGACTGTTGTTTTGGCTGGATTACTGTAGCTGGTTTAAGAAACGTTGCCGCTGTCAGGCTATCATCTGTGTCTCACTGTTACAGGTATGTCCTGTGGTTTTGTGTGATTGCTTCCAAGGCACCTTTTTACAAGATAAACTGAACACAGTACAGATTGGTACCTGGCGGTGATTTTACAAACACCAGTGTAATGGTTTATAATCAGCTTGTACTGGGAACATTGTTGTTAGTTCACAAATAGGAGTAACTACTGAATCACACTGTAAAGTCCATCTAGCTCATCATTCGGTCTCAACTGGTGGCCAGTTTAGTCTCCTGGTGTCCTCCTGAAGTCAGAGGGTAGAGAGCTGAGTCTGTACATCAGTGTCAGGACTATAATCTCTGTCTTCCCAGAGGAAGTTTTCCAGATCTCTTGCTTGCACTGAGAACATTCAAGGTCTTGGACAACTTGTTTCCTTACAGCAAATGGGTGTCTCTTACGAAAATGCAGACTTTCTGACAGCATGCGCTGACAACACAGTTCAGTCTTTGGAGCTGTGCCCCAAAATGTGTCTTTGCTGGATGTTTGCCATGCAGCCAACTCAAGGTCTCACTGAGCCATCCCAGCGCTTTCATGCAGTTCTTAAAACAGGTAGAGTGTTTGGTAGGGTAGTGTTGCTATTATCTGTCTGAAAGACAGGTTACATTCAGTAACCTGGCCCCTTCCTGCATCGTACACGGCTAGAATGTATAGGTGGACTGTGCCTCGTGGTTTCTGGTAAGTGATTTTCAGCCTTGCCTTCGGTACTGGTTTCTCTCTTCCCCATGTAACGCAAAGGTGAATTCTGGTGACCTTTCTGCCTCTGCTGCTGCCAAGACTGCTTTAACGCAGAAATTAAAGTTCTGTGCTACTTTGCTAAGCAGACCAAACCCCTTTTTACATGGCCACGCATGGCAATGGTGGGTCCTATTCGCCTGCATGGAATGTTTCTGTCTAGAAGTAGCTTCTGTGGTAGCTGAGAGGAGAAAATTACAATAAATGGGAAAGAGTGGGGAGGTGGAACTACAGAACTATAAAGTGTTCCTTTATTGGTAACTGCACTCAAGCAGCCCTCACAGTTCTGCATATACCAGGGTGCGTGAAGTGTGTTCTGAGATCAAGGCGTGGAGTTTTAAAACTGGTCCGTGGGTGGTTTTTGTTAACACCAGTAAAAAATGGTGTTAAGAAAACACTCCTCCTTCAAATAATGAAAATTTTAAATCTCAAAATAACTGGATGAAGGCTGCATCTTCCCATCATGCAGTATTTTAAGAAAAGGCATGCTCCTTGCATAAAAGTTGGTGAAAATAGTTTTGAAAAATAACCAACTACTAAGAACGAAAAGTGAATGTTGAACATTTTTTAAAAGAGTCTGCAAGTACAACTGAGAGAGATTTTTTTTTTTAATATGATGGAATAGGTTTTTTATGTACATAACAAATTCTTCCTTTCACCAGTGAAGTATAAGGTGTCTTCATCACTTTCTTTGCATTTTGTCCATCCTGTTCTTCTATTTCTTAGGACTAATATTATAAATTCCTTTTGCTTCTGTCTAAATTTTTATGTGCTCCAGGGTTGTGGTGTTTTGTGCTGTGCAGTCTATTGGTTTGCTTTATTTGAAATGAAATATGAACACCCCTGGGGTTCATATGGGTTGTTTTAATTTAAACTGGATTTCTTCAGCTTTCCGTTAACTATGAAAAACAGTATTATTTGAGAGAAAATGGTATTAACTGAACTGATTTCTTTTTTATTGAAGGAGATTTTACGAGGATGGAGCAATTGTTCTTGGTGAAGAAGCAAATATGCTTGCTGGTATGCTGTTGGGACTCAATGCAATTGATTTCAGGTATTTGCATGCTGCATAACAATGCTCAGGGAAAGTACTTACAAATTGATGCATTGTGGAGAACATTGTTAGATTCCCTTAAGAGTTTGAGACAGAAAACTGGGGAAATGGGGGAAGGAGGGGGAGAGAGAGAGAGAGGGAGAGAGAGAAGGATCTCTAGTGACTCTTCTAGATAAGAACAAAGTTATGCCATAGTTTATATAGCTGCATGATTACATGGCTTTTCTTTCAGGTATCAAAATCTGAAAGCAATCAGAAGTATAGTTGCAGAAGATATATCAAAGTTAAGTGAAGCTTACAAGCAATTGAATCTTTTAAAGTTATTTTTAAACTGTAAGAAAAGCTGTGTGATTAAGTACGTGGTTATGCCCTGGTAATCAATGGCAGCATTGTAACTGCCTGTGTAGAAGGTGTAGCTATCTTTAACTTCAGCACTCCTAGATTTTAAAAGCTTAACCTACAAATGACTGTTTAATATTGATTTGTGTTGTAATTAACTGCAACTGAACTTCAAAGTAGCATCAGATTACATGAATTTACCTTTGCAATCTCTTGAGATTTTTGTGTGCTTTGTTACACAATTAATTCTGTGTTTTGAAGTAATGAAGATGCAAGCACACCCTAGATAATATAAAAAACTTCTTGGTGTGTATATATCTAACATATATCTAAATATATATATGAAAAATATCAGCAAGGTATGAAGACTGATCAAACCTGGCTGGTGCAAGGCACTGTTAATATGCCTGGTTGAGCCCACCTAGCTTCATACAGAGCCACTGGGGAAGGGTTTTGTAATACAGCATAGGAAAAAGGAGAGTGTTTACGGTTCTCTACAGTCTCCTGGCAGTACACTTAATATTTACCCTGCAGCAGCATTAATGCTTGTCACAAACTAGTTTAGGAAATAAACTGGCAGAAAACAGCACATACTCACACTGGATATGCTGTTCCAAAAGGCCTGTGAAGATTTATCCCTACTTATGTACCCTTATACCAGTTTTGAGGCTTGTTGGACCCTTCTGTGAGCCGGCTTAACTTGCTAACGAGTAAGAAAATGTACCAAGTAAGAAGACAGGATAGTTCTTTTGTTTTTAGCTTAGTTTGGTTTATGGAAGCATCCTGTTAGTGGCAGAGACAATAGGACGATAAGGCTTAGAGAATAGAAGGAATAAAAAGTATTGAGTAATGTCTTCCCTTTCTGGTGGCACTGAGCCTTGAGTTCAGCTGCCTGTGGAACTGCAACTGGATGCTCAAGGGGTGAAAAACCTAAAAACTCAGGTCTTGATGGCTGAACTAGCTCATCGTGGAGTCAGATAAGTGCCACTACCACTGTAAGGAGAGGAAAGGGAATGTCTGGTCGGAGTTAAAAAAAAACAAAAACAAAAACAAACAAACAAAAAAAACCCAACAAACTAAAGAAACGAAAAACAGGGAGGGAGAGGTTGAAAATGCAGGATAGCTTCTTTTGCCAGCATTTAGTCATTAGATTGGCTTAACTGCATCTTCAACATATGTTCTGGGGGATCAGAAGTGTGATGCAGGATGATAAGAGAGCTAGCCTTGTGTAGAGCAAATTCAAATCTTACCAGATTTTATTAGTTTAAGCTTTACACTGTGTGAAATTAAACTGCTTCTGTATTAGCACTATCCTTGGACGGACTACAGCTATACATGAATAAGCAGCATAGCAAGAGTAGGTCTACAGTATGTAATCCTCCCATAAATAATCATCGGTTGACTGCTTGTCTTACATATGCCTCAGTGGTACATACTTAGTTGTAGGAGTGTGCTTGTTCTTCTTTGTCCTCTGATTTCTAATATAAGCACATTGATAAGTATGTTAGTAGTATTCAGAGTAATGACAGGTTCTCATTGGAGACATTAAAGTTTTTGTCAATGCAGCTTTTCAGAGCCTAGGAAGAGCCTGGGCAAAATAAGAACATAGTTCTACAGGAGCATTTTTATTGTGCCACATGTAATTCATAGTATTGTGGTTTGAATGGCTGAGAAGTTGTAGCCATTCTTTGCATGTTATATTTCAGATATTCTTTTTTTCAGTTCAGACAGTCTCTTATCAATGTTGACTGGCTTATCTATGTGGAACTCTAAATAAGACTTTGGGGTGGAGATGGGGGAACCCAGGTGAGAACAGCATCTAATTATTTTTTTTTTTTTACCCTTCACAACAATGTGAAATTATGTCTACTTAAAATAATAATGGTTTTGCAAGGGTGTTTTTTGTCGTTTTCTTTGCTTTGCTTTTCTTAGGAAAAAACCTGAACCTTCAGATGTACTCAAATACCACTTAAGTGAATGCATTGTCAAAAATGGCACTTTGCAATTAAGTCAGCAAAAGCTGTATTTTACTAGAATTTGTTTTTTGACGACAGAGATAGGAGGCGTAAGGAATGTGAACCTTGTAGAAGCATAATTAATTTTGTCACTTCTGTGATAATTAAACATTATTCAAATACAATCTTTTATATCTGGTACAAAAAGAATGCAGTGTAGATGAAAGCTTTATAAAGCTATAGCCACTTAAGAACATTTTCTGAAAGTAAATTTAATTAGTGTTCCTTGTCTTCCTGCAGCCCAATATGACAAAGTATTTGAAAGGAAAAAGAGTCGGAAATATTTTTGAGAACTGATTTTTGACTTGAAGTTAGTACATAAGCGCTCTGGAAACACCTTAAATGAGCTTAAATACTGAAGATTCCAAGCTCATACATGGCTCTTCTGTTTCTCTTGCTTCAGCTAACTTTTCTTTCCCTGTTGTTCTCTTGCAATCCATATGCATTTTCAGAATAAAAGTGAATATTTAAAAATCAGGGTTTGTACCACTTCCCTGATCTATTCCTTGCGTGTGTGAAATTTCTGTTTGTTGGGAGTTTTCATTATCCTACAATATGCTCAGTGACTCTCATTTAATAGTAGCATTCTAACTTGGCTGAGTAGGATTTCAGTCTTAAATGCTCTAGGCCTTTCTTATTACTAAAAAAAAAAATAATTTTCTTGTGATAATTTTATCATTGTTTCTCTGTTTTATCAGTTTTTGTCTGAAGGGTGAGGGATTGGATGGCACCTTTCCAGCTGTCATAGATTATACGCCGTACTTGAAGTACACCCAAAGGTACTTCTTACCTTCCCTCTCCTTTTTTTCATTTCATTTCACTGGAAAAACTTTACATCGTACTGGGTCTCTTACTATTAATTTCACATTCAAAATAATATCCATATCTAAATACAAACCTGTAGCTCAGCTACCTTGCTCTTTCAGACTGGTAGAATTACTACATGACTCTGATATTAGAGTGAGTCGTACTAACTTGGTTTACTTGGATCAGATTCACAGTTCAGCAAGAAACAATTTTTTTTTTTTTATTTCTCTTGTGCCTTTCCTGTGTAGCCAGAAGCTTAAAAGTAGTTATTTTGTAAATAAAAATTATATGTGCCCTGGTAAATTATGACAGATGAGCACTTAGTACATAATAGAAAGTCATGACCAGTTGCTTATATAATCTGGCCTTCCAGTTACATTTTGCTCTTCTGATCAGCTGTATGATTAATAATAGAAAGAATCATCACTATCTAACAGATGAGATAGTGATTTGTCATCTCCAGAAAGCATGGAAATTAATGGGATGTGTTCTATTGTTAGGTTTGCCAAAATGAAGTAAGCAGTTGGGAGTTAGACGTAGTCTTGAAGATGTACAATGAAGAATGAAACATCCTAGATATTCTCTTGAAGTTTGTAGCTTACATGTTAACGACAAATTTTCTGATTCATTTAAAGCAGAATTTGTATCACAGCAGGAGTCTGGGGTCGCAGGAATCACTACTTTAAAGATAGTAAATGCTGTTAATGTAATGGAAAGTGTAGTTGTAAGGGAAGATTTCAAATGGGTATTGTGATAAATTAAAATTCTTGTATTTGAGACAGATGTCTGAATTCTCTGACATACATTGATTCTGGGTGATACGGAGATATTTTAACAATTAATCTGCATACTACGTATACTTACGCTCTGCGAAATAACAGGCTTGTGGTCTTCGCTATAACCATAAATAAGGTTGTTCTCCTTTAGCTTTATTGTGGTTTAACACAACAATCAGGCTTTAATTGTTCTGTGTTTCTAGAAACAAATACAATTTATTTTCAGATACTACTCTCTGACCTGAATTGGTGAAGGAATGATTGGGCCACTACTTCCTTAGATAGCGTATTGTGAGGTATTGGCCCTTTGTGTTCCAGGAGAGTATCCCAAATAGTTATCTGACTTACCTAAAACAACTTGACAAAGGTCACAAGCAAATTTTTCCCATTCTTTAGGTGGCTATACAAATGAAAGCTTGAGATACAAGTTGTATTTGGTGATCTATCCTATCCCAACATTTTGATTCTGTTTGGTTTACAGAGCTTTAGGTGTCTTCAAGAACTGTGGTGCTTTAATTTCAATGGGAATTTGCATTTTAACAAACACAGCTTTTAACTTGGCTAATAAATGCGATCTTTCAGTTCTGACAGCATCAGCAGTGATGAAGAAGAGCTGAGAACGCTGGGCAGTAGTGGCAGTGAAGGCAGTACTCCAGAGAACATTGGTCCTCCTTTCACCATGGATGAAAACAGTTGGTACAACAAATGCAAAAGAGTAGAACAGAAGTACCGGCTTGCAGTGGAACAGAAGGTAAAAGATTAGTTTTGTGTGGGGATGATGGAGCCAAAGCTCATCACTGGCCAGCTAATGACATACCCATTTAAGTAAAGGCAGAAAAATATAGTAAATGTTATTTAGCTTCATGTAAATGGTCTTAAATTTCAAGATTCTCAGGGTATCTAAGTTTCTTTGCTCATTGATTTGGGAGAAAAGAGCTTTGGAGAGGGAGGGAAAAATAATAATAATAATTCAGAGATCCGATTTCACAATCTAATGTAGAAGCTTTGGCTCCATATTCCAATCTCCGAGTTACAGGCAGTATATCCCTGACGCTGTTAGGTTGTAAGCTTGAAGTGAACACAACTGTCCACATGATTTTCCTCTTCCTTAGAGATCACAGAATTTTACTGATGTAGATAGACTGCCAATTGAAGGCTTTTATAATGATAGTGATGTTAAACTTTAACATTTAGTCTTACAGTAAACAAAAATGGTCAGCAAAGCAGTCCATCTAGGAATGAAAAGCAAAACTGTCTTCTCGATGATACTGTAATGGGGTTTTAGAAAATATATAGGTTTAAGACCTGCTTCAAGCTAGAATGGGAAATGGGATTGAAAAAAGTGGGGGTTTGTAATTGATTTTAATAATTTAGGTGGCATGTTGAAAGTTATTATAGGAAACCAAAGGTAGGTCATCCCTCTACCACACAAAATACTGTAAGTTAAAGGTGAAGTGAAATATATGTCCAAACCTTTTAGCATTTTTAAAAGCAAAGTGCTTGTCAGTATTTCACAACAGAGGGAAGGGGGAAGACTGGTCATAGACACTGAAGAAATAGTGCACAGGAAAAGAAAGAAGGAGTCAGGAAAAATGAAAGACAAGAGGTGAATATTTTTAAAGAACATCATTAGTATTTTTAGTGTTCTTTTCTCCTGATGTCAGAATTTGATTTGGGTCAAACTCTGAACACAGTAAACCATATGAAAGGCTATAACTTGGAGTTACAGGGTGCTTGGAGGTGTAATTATTTCCCTTAGGTTAGGGCATTAGTATGTCTCTGCCTTTCTAGTTTTTACTGGACTGGAAGAAAAAAATTTAATTCACTTCAACTATACGACATTTGTGCTATTATAACTTGAACAAATGACCATTAAGAGGTTAGATTGACTATGGAATAGAGCTCCTTTCTTGCCTGAGTATTTCTCTCCTTCCCTTTTCGAGACCTTTTTCATGGCTGTAAGTTGCAGCAGCAATTGTTTTGCACACAGTGCAGTAGGTACCAGTTAATCAGAGAGAGTGTTTTCTTCCAAAGAAAGAGGCTTTCTGACACTCTGTGTGTTGAAAAACTGGATGTTCGTGACAAGAAGACCAATTTGGAAGCAATGTCATTTTAGTAACTGATACAGTGAGTCTCATAGATCTTTCTTTTGCTCCACTATCATTCCCTTTGTGCAAACAGTGATAAATTCCTCTTGTGCCTTCTAAGAAGGTATGTGTAGTGTGGTCATCAATAGCACAGGTGAATCATGTTTACCAGGGTCACAATATACAGGTGGTTGGATTTCAGCCAAGATAAAGGTACCTGTGTCTTCTGAGTTGTTTGAACGGTAGGATAGGGTCAGGTATTATTTTAGCAAAGTAAATCTTGGCACTGCTCTATTGGATCAACAATGCTATGCTGCTTTAGACCAAGAACCCTTGGTTAACCTACTTTCCTATCTTGGATATTTGCCTGAAGTAGATGCAGAGGGAAGAATAAAAACAAAGCAAATGTACGTGCACTGTTTTTCTTCTAATACTTTCTTGGCCAATACATATCAGCTCAAGGACTTCCTGAAGCTGATAAGGTTTGACCGTGTAGTAACCCGTGATGGATCTCTCTTCCAAATACTTGTCAAATATCCCCTTGACCCCATGTAAATTTTTAGCCTCCAAACCATTTTTTTGGCAAAGCATTCTGCCTATCTACCATCTGTTGTGTGAAAAGCTGCCTGCTTTTCTGTCTTTTGAATGTGGCTCCTACTTGTTTCATTTCATAGTGCCTAGCTCTTCTATTTTAAAAAATATTCAACAGCCGCTTCCTTCTTGCCCTCTCCAGGCCACTCGGGAAATACGATGAGTTTGTCTTTTCCAAGTTGTCTCTTGTCCAGATTAATGAGTCATTGTTTGCATGTTTGTTACTGATGTAGAAGTTACCCCTTCGCTGGTTTGGAATGGTGTAAACTGTTCACTTTGTGTAGTAAACTCCTGTGTGTACCGTTATGCTGGAGTTTCATCTGCTTTCACTGGTGGGATGATGCACCTGAACATCCTTAGAGATAGATGTATCTATGGTTCTGTTTCTGATGCTGATGCTCCATATCTAAAATCTTGTTGTAAAAGATTTGACATTTCTGGGAGGCAGGAAATTTGTATATGTCCTGTTGACTTACTTCAGTACCTTCAGAGCACTACTTGGAGTGCTCAACTCTCCTGCTCAAAAAGAGGTATACTAGAGCAGGTTGCTTAGGGCCTTGTTCATTCGGGTGGTGAATATCTCAAGAAGGCAGACTGCCCAGCCTGTCTGCACAACTCATTCCAGTGCTCATTTAAAACCGAAAAAAGAAAATGAAATATTTTTTTTTGATAGTATGTTCTTTAAGGCTTTCTAACACTTATATTTCCAGGGTTACCTTGAAGAATTGGTACGACTCAGAGAAAACCAGCTATCTGAATCTGTCTCACAGAATAAGCTGCTCCTACAAAGAATTGAAGATATGGATCTAGCCCATAAAATGGAGAAGGAACAGCTGGAATATATCATTGTGGAACTGCAAGACCAGTTGTAAGTTAATATAATGGAGAAACATTGTTAGAGCAGTATTGCTTAATTTATTTAACTATGTACTACAAAGAACTTATGATCCCATGGAAATAAGTCAAACTTCTTAAAGAAATTTATGTATTTTAGCTTTTTTTTTTTCCCCCTGACAAGTCATATATTCAGAAATGACTCCTCTTCAAACTGCAGTAGTGTAAGACAGAATAATTCTGAGATTTTTTTTTTTTTAATCTGAAGTAGGTTGCAGACAACTTGCTTAAATTTTTAACACATTTTAATAAAATGTTCCTTATTTTATTACTTGCAGCTTTAAGGTTGTCCTTTAAAAAACATTAGAAGCAGCTTTCTTCTAAACGCTGTTTTTAAAGTGTTGGGCAGGAGAGGATAACAGAATATTTATTTTCTGTGTATAGGTTCCACTTTATCAGCGTGGGGCTCAGACACAGTAGAAGTTCATCTGGTAGTCCTAAAAATATTCAAACTGATGAAACAGTTTGCTAGTCACTTTCTTCAGTGCAAGGCAAAATGCTAAAAAAACAACAGGAAAAGGCTTCATTTTTAATGGCACATGTGACTCCTAATATGATGAATATTTGAGTATTTTGGGATGCTTACACAGCTCTTCCTCCCAGCCCTGTCTGTTGGGTAGGGAGGGCGATGTCCTTTCTCAGAGACACTCCCTGCTGAGGTTTAAAGGCCCAGGTAGATGGAAGACTCGCCCTGTGGTGGTATTTGCCACGAGACTGCTATAATAAGCACCTGCAGTAACTGTATGTTCTGTTCATAGCAAACACGAGATCAATTATTTTACCTCATAACTGGAGTAATTTGTATGTGTCTGGGCCCTGAGGTAAAATAAGTCATTCGTGGCCTTTGAAACAATCCGGGACGAAGAGAATATAAAGATGGGTTTGGGGTACTATGGTTCCTTCTACCTAATGTCTCATAGAGACGCCATCCAGAAGGGTCTTTTCTATGCAGTAAAAAGTACTTCTAGCTTGTAAACAAAGCCACTGCTTCCTCCCAGCCCCAGTCTTTTGGTAGATCATTTTAGTGCTTGAAGTTTTATGAAAATCCTCAGGAATAGAACATTTGCGTTTTATTTATGCCAGTTTCAGGACTGAGGAAGAAAAAAAGATGTTTTTCCAAGTTGTATTTTTTTTCCTTTTTTTCCTGATTACCTATAAGCTTTGGAGAGAGCTGTTCTTGAGTTCTTTTCTGAACTGATACAGCTAATGATTCATGTTATGCTTCTTTGGCCTCCCTGATTATCTGGGGGGTGGGAGGAAGGTGTGAGCTCACTTAAAGCCACTCTGATACTTAGAAATTTTGAACATTCAGACCTGCTGTTAATTTTTAGCTGAGCTGTATGAAATCACACTGTTCTAAAGCTCTGTCTTTGGGGTTCAATTTTGTTTGCTGGCTTTCTTATGTCAAAATGTTTTACATATATTCTCAACGGATTTGGGCAAAATGTGAGTCTGTGTCTAGGTTTGCCTTCCCACCTCATCCCCACCGCCCCAAAAGAAAAAAAAACCCCAACAACAAAGCCAAAACCAACCAAAGGCTGTTACTGTTGCTGACTTGGAGACCAGAGAACACTAGTGATTAACAAGGCCCTCAGGTTATAAATTAGATTACCGACAGAGAAACTTTTCCATATTCACATTTAATAAAGCAGTTTGCTGTAAAGCATGAAATAAATATGGAGATTGGAGAAACTTGGAAGTACTTTTTGGCTTACAGTTGCTATGCAAAACTTCACGTTCTACAATATTCAGTATTCTTAACTTTTGTCTCGCACACCTGAGTAACCAAACTGGAATGAACAAGACCGTTTTCAATTTAGTGAAAGCCATTTCATGGGTCTCATGAATACCAGTATCTAGAAAATAGGGAAGCTGAAAATTTATCAAATTAATAATTCACTAAAGAGTAACATTTTTTTGTGTCTCTCAACTTCATTGGATTTCTTCATAATGTGCCCACTTATACTGGGCGTCTCTGCTGGCAGGTGTCTGATAGCAGATCAGGTGAGGAAAATCAGGCTGCAGAGTCGGACACATTTAAACTAATCCACAGCTGATCAAGAAGAAGGTTCAGACTAGATATTAGGAAATATTTCTGTATCAAGAGGGGGGTGAAATACTGGGAGAGGCTTTCTGGAGGGGTGATTGATGCTCCCTACCTGAGTGTTTAAGAGGCATTTGGACAGGGCCCTTAATAACATGCTCCAAGTTTTGGGCAGCCCTGAATTGGTCAGGCAGTTGGACTAGGTGATCATTTGAAGTCTCTTCCAACTGAAATTGTTCTGTTCTATTCTAAGAACAGCTTGCTCTTTCACCACACTTGCAGCATCTCCAGATGAACTGATTGCCTACTGATAATGTGTCAATTGTAATAACGATGAGGCATATTCTAGCTTTCATTTGCTTTCTTCAGAAGTCTTTGCTGTCACTGGGGCATGGTTTTGCCTGGGACTTGCTGAACGCTGTTCTCTAAACAGTGCTTTTGGCTTCACTCTCCTATAGGTAGGTAGAGTGTGTTTTTACAGTGAGGGCAGGGCAGTTCTTAAGGCCTTAAGTGCTTAAAAGTAACAGCTCACGGGAGGACAGCCAAGAGAAGCCTGTGATCCTTGGCTGTCTAACTGAAGAAAACAGTTTGAATTCCAGAATATCCAAAATGTGATGGGAGAGGGATCCCAAATCATCAAAGAACTGTATCCTGGAGTAGTCAAAACTCAGAGGCAGCGATTTTTTCCTCCTCTAAGCACCAGCAGAGAATTGCTGAGTGTCTCTTGGAACAGAGACACATTTAATCATGCACTCCATCAGTTAAAAAAATTCTAAGTACACCCCTAATATAGGTATATTTATTTATATATCATATACATGTACTATTATATTAATATATTACATACATTATAAAACATACACAAATTAGAAATTAAAAAGGATGAGATAAAGATGAAATAAACACTACCTTTTTTTTTAATTTATTAATGTATAGGAAGTATTTTCTTCCAGTATCCCAAAGGATTGTTTTATGTACCCCGCTTTGGAGACCGCTGCCTTGAAGGACTCGTTAGCTCAGACAAAGAAGTGACTGGGCAAAATCTGGAACTGTTTACCCACAATATCCTTGCTTTAAATTTCTTCATTTCAGCTTAAACAGGCTTTTCTTCCCCTTAGGGTGATTCTTAGTTGTCTTTTGGCTCACACACTCCCTGTGTCAAAGGCAAGCTCTGCTGAACTTTGTTACTTTGAAGTTCAGATTCTGCATCTGAAATTGATATTTATATATGTTAAATATTGATGTGTATTTACAAGAGAGATTCCATCAATTTCCTGAATAATGACTCATCTCCTGCATAGTAAATCACAGATGTTATAGAAGAGAATCACTTTAACAAAAAAAATCTTTTTGAATAAAGTGCTAAGGAAACAGGAAAGCATTGTATACAAAGGTAAAAAACCCTCAACTTGAAATGCTTTTTATTTTCTTGTGCTGTGATTTTTGTTGAAATTATAATAGTGCTTTACTTAATGTTTACCAACATGGGTTTCCTCTGAAGGTATTTTTCAGATTTTCAGGCTGGTGTGCCTGGTGTAAGATGGTACAGCCCTTTTGTCCCATATGGTGCCATATTTTAATTTAATGTTCTTTTTTTAATCACATGTATTGAATATGTATCACTTGGATTCAGTGGCTATATGGTGTATTTTATACTGCTGTGGTTTTTATCTCCCTCTGATGTATCTTCCTTTATCTCTGTCTTGTTCTGGTGTTTTCTGGAGGGGCATGTGAAAGGAAGGAAAGTCATAACTCTTCTGTATTTGGAATTCTGCCTTTGGTTCTGCCACAAGTAAGACTCAAATTAAATTTTAGGGACACTCACATCTTGCATTGTATTAAGCTTGACTGTCCACACAGCTCTGTGCCCTGTGTTAGTGCTGCACTGATCTCAGACTAATGCATCCTGCCTTTCAGAAAGTCCATCAGCTCCTGCTCAGCAGTCCCTGAATATAGCCATAGTTCTGTGAGAGCGGCGTGCCGGAGTAAATTCATGCCTGTTTAGGTCCAAGCAAAATGAGTATCTGTTTCAAATACACCATGTCCTATCACACCTATTATGGAATACTTAAAGGAAGATTTGCTGTATTCTGTGTAGCAAAGACGATTCCTTTCTGGATTGATCATGCCCTATTTGTTTAAAAAAAAAATACTTGCTTGTGAAAATAGTGTCGGTGCTTTTCCTCACTTTGTCAGGATTCTTGTCTGTAAATGTACTAGAGCCTTTAGGGTGCTGCCACAAGTCCTCTGCCCGAGAGCAGGCAGGGGAGGGTCACAGATGAACACACACAAGTCATAGAGGATGTAGGCTGTAACTGTGCAGTCAGGGAGAAAGCAGAGAAAAGCTTGTCCAAGGAAGCTGAAGGGTCTCAGCAAAGGCTCTGAAAGTTAGCCTGTTCCGTGTCTCCTTGTGAGTAAAGCATTAAATGTGGGTTGCCTAGCTTTGTAATCCTGGCTCAAACCTAAGTTATCTGGAGAAATTGGAAAGAAAAAATTAAGAAGCTGAATTCCTCAACAGCCTAAGTACAGCAAATTCAATTTGTTGTAGCTGCTTTATTTTCTTACTGAAAGGAACTAGGAGATTAAAATTTGATGTTTGATCTTCTTGGTGAATTCCTTTCCTAGAATGTCAAAACTGAGAATGCTAAATCCTTCTTTCCTTCCAAAGCTTTCATGGATCCTTGCTATCAAACCATAAGTCATGTCAGCCACGCTTTTATTTGTAGTGGGTTCTGTATGTCCTTGGTCTCCCTGAAGTTTGCAGCAGCAGTTTTAAATCCTTAGTATTGCAGTCTGGTCTGTTTTCAGCACCTTCATTTCTCAACTTGTCTGTACTTTTTTTTTTTTAAACTGCGTAGAAAAAAATTGCATCTTTTGACAGATGGTGGTTTGGATTTTACTTTTGTGGAATTATTTCTTTTGCAGTTTGG